GGTATGAAGAGGCTTTGAGAGATGAGGAAGAAAGAGTCCAAGCTGCAGCTACGTTCAATGATGGCAGTAGTGCCATGGGCAGAAAATGTTCCAAGGTCAAGGCTAGCAGCTCTTCCCACGCCTAGTGAAGTTGAAGCAAATTTTTCATTTTGTAGTTAAAGAGGGCAGTCACTGTTCCAAGGAGTGAAGGACTGGGTGTTACTGGAGGGAACACACTGTATAATACCTTTTTGTTTCTGTTCTAAATGGATAATTTGAAGATTTATCTGTATTTTGGGGCATACTTTTCAAATTTTCCTTTTATTTATCATTGTAATCTAAATTTAGGATAGATATTAGTCATATTTGTTGTTTAAGAGTAAAAATTTTGCTGTTTCGTAAAACAGATTGAGAAAAGTTATATCTTATTTAGTGATCTGGTGCAAGATAACTTGGAATTAGAATAAGCATTTCCTTGAAAATTTTTTTTTAAAAAAGTCAGCAGTAAAATGTGTGGGATTAAGAAATAGAGAAAGAGTGTAAGACGGTCAATATTTGGTTTCCTAAATGCTTTTACTCTGTGTTTTAAGAAAATGAAAGATAAATAACCATATATATCTGGCTTATTTAAGAATGTAGAATTAAATCATAATAAATTAGACCTCATGCTGACACACTCATTCTCCAAGTGTTAATTGAGCGTCTGCTCTTGGAAGGATCCATGCTAGTACTGGGAGGGCTAAGAAAAAGAAAACCTGGCAACTGACCTTAAAATTATAAGGTCGAGAAGCAGCTATCATCTAAGGAAAATGGTGATATTCGCTCTAAGACCAAAAGGATACATGATAAGAAGGGAGGGAGGTAGTTCCACATGAGAACAGTCAAGTATGAATTATCTAATCAAGGCGGTGTTGGGCCTAAGAAAATGCAGGTCCCTCAATGGGAGTTCATCTAAGTGAGGCTCCATGGTGGGCTGGATGAGGCTGTGGGAATGGTGAGCAGGCGCCAGGCTCTCAGAAGTTGCCTCTCAGAGGTGCAAGACAAAGCTTGGAATAGGAAACAGTTCTTAACAGTTACTTTGGGATCATGGATAAACCAGGGAGAACCTGGGATAAGAATGTGTCCTGTGCTCTTCTCCCAGTACAAATAAACACAGCACACACTAGGTGTTTTGTACACATCATCTCCAGCCAGTTTCTGAGAAATAAGGGTAATACCCTCAAGGGAGGTGGGAGGACCAGAAGCCACTATGCTGGTGCTCTTTGCCCTGGGCTGGGGGATCCAGAGCCTGTTCCATTAAAAGCACATTCAATTAGGTTACCTCGTGTGTAATTTGGCAAACTCTAGGCAAGGTCTAGATTTTGAGAGGTGGTTAAATGAATCAAAATAAAAGTGGTTTAGATGGAAGGATAGCTGAGAGAGAAGGAAGTTTTTGGTTCTTGAAACTCATTTTAGAATTTGTGTTGCATCTACTGAGGAAGTCTACCTCATACTAATATTGAATGATCTATCAAGTAATGAGGAAATATTATTTAGTTTTCCTTTCTAGGTAGCACTTTGTCTGATAGGGCTTTCTTTGTCCTAGAATATGGTATAATCTCTGACATCTCCTGCATTGAAAAATAAGTCCCAGTGTAGTAGATTGCAATGTCAGGGTACAAATGAATCATAATAAGAACTGGCACTATTTTATGTCTCAATACATCTCAAGCACTTTACATACATTGTATACATTTTACTGGTCCTACAAAACAGAACTTATCAAATCCACTTCACAGATAAAAAGCCTGACGCCCACGGTCTATTAATGTGTCCAATTTCACATGGCTGGTAAGTGACAGGACTGGGACAAGACCCCTAGTCTGAATTAGTGTAAAGCACACTCTGTTCCATGCCTCCCAACCTGAGACTGACTGTGTCCCCTTATTCACTTTTCTTCTCACTACTCCCAAATGTATTCTGTGCCCAATTTGCTGGACTGAAATACATAACCAGAGCAAGGAAATTACCAAAATGGTCGAGAGGTGTGAATTAAGGAGAGAAAGATAATATTTGGTGACAATATGACTACATATGCAAAGTCAGATAAACTCAAAAGATCATGGGCTCACATTCTGTCATTCTGAACAGTTCCCCTTTTTATAGGAAGTTAAATCTTTTTCAAGAGAAATACATAAGAGGGTGGTAAAGAGAAGAAATAGATCAACATGTTTTTTGTTTGTTTGTTTGCTTTTTTTTTCCTCTGACGGTATGACTTTTAATCCTGGGCTTCTGCCTTGTGTTACAGCTTCCCTATATTACATCACTCCTGGGACAGGGATGCATTGTCTGCAAGATTTATTGTAGGGAAACTGGTCAAGAGTTTTTAGGGATGTGGCATTTCCCAGGAAGTCATTAATTAAGGGACAAGAGCTAAGATAAAGACCTTCATATAGGAGGACTGAGCAGAACATGCCAGACAGAGTTCTTAGTCTGAGCATCACCTCACTTATTCTTCAAGGTTCTCAGGGACTTACGAGTTCCTGCATCTCAGGTCAGTAGAGGGAGGAGTCCCATTCTCTGACACACACCAAGCTGAGGACCCTGAATGAAGAATGAGGGAAGCACTCACCCAAATAGTCTTGACAGGATGGGGCTGAACCTGATTTCTACTCCGGAGTTCTTAAGAAGGTAAAGACCACGATCTGAGGCTGGCTGACTCAGGTCCATAGAGGAAGGATTCCTAATGTGTGCCAGGAGTAAAGTGAGTACCCTGAAGAGTGCAGAAACCACCAAACCCCTATGAGTGGGGACCCCACAGAATCCTCCCTACTGTCATCTCTGAGAGATTCAGGCATGAATGTCAGACAGAGGCATCCTCATATCCTCAGTAGTAACAGAGAAGTGAAGGTCTGGTTCTGAGGTGGGCAATCCCAGCTCAGCAAAGGGAAGAATATTAAGCCTTCCTGTGAGTCAGATTTAGGATCCTGAGTTAGGACCTGAGTAGGACAATCCATCATAAGACCTCAACCTGTCTACCACAGCTGCCACTCTTGGGAGACCACAGTCAGTTGTGGCCAGATAAGGCCACCCTCTTCCTCCTATCGGATATCAGGGAGGTGCAGGCCTTTTAAACGGAGAGGTCTTCAGGTCAAAAAAGAGGGGAGCCCCAGGATCTGCTAGGAGCCAAATCAAGGAAACCGAGTGAGAACTGAGGGGACTGCTCACCTCTGAATAGAGAGGACAACAGAGTCCACCCCCCTGCATAAATCTTAAATTGCCAGAGCAGCATGTAAGGTTGAGGATTCACCACCACTTTTTAAATTTTTTTAAAATAATTGACCTTCTTTTTTAGAACAGTTTTACGTTCACAGCAAAACTGAGCAGAAAGCACAGAGTCCCATGGGCATCCTGTCCTCCCACAGACACAGCCTCCCTCATATCAATCTCCCAAGCCAGGGTGATACATTTGTTACAATTGAGAATACATGGACACGTCATTATCACCCGATGCCCGATGTCTGTAGTTTAGGATTCATTCCTGATGCTGCACATTCTGTGGGTTTTAATATTTAAAAATGTAACATGACATATGTTTACCACCATAGAATCATCCAGAATTGTTTTACTGCCTTAAAAGTTCTCTGTGCCTGATCTATTTATCTCTCACTCTCCCCAACCCTTGGAAACCACTGAACTTTGTACTGTTTCCATACTTTTGCCTTTTCCAGAATGTCATATAGATGGAATTATGCAATGAATAGACTTTTCAAATTGGCTTCTTTCACTCTGTGATATGTATCTAAGTTTCATCCATGTCTCTTTGTGGCGTGATAGTTCATTCCCTTTTAGTGCTGAATAATACTTTATTCTGTTAATTTACCCACTCTCCTTCTGAAGGACATATTGGTTGCTTCCCAATTTGGGCAATTATGAATAAAGCTACTATAAACGTTTGTGTGCAGGTTTTTTTTTTTTTTTTTTTTTTTTCTGGGCATACTGTTTTCAACTCATTTGGCTAAATAACAAGGAGCGCACTTGCTAGATCATATGATAAGAGTATGCATAGCTTTGTATGAAACTTACAAACTGTCTTCCAAAGTGGCTGTACCATTTTGCATGTCCACCAGCAATGACAGTGTGCTCCTGTTGCTCCACATCCTCATCCGTATTTGGGGTTATCAGTGTTTTTTATTTTGACCATTCTTACAGGTATGTAGTGGTATCACATTATTGTTTTAATTTGCAAGTCTCTAATGACCTGTGATGTTGACCATCATTTCATATATGTATTGCCTTCCATATATATTATTTGTTGAGGTGCCTGTTTAGATCTTGTGCACATTTTTCAAAGGGTTGGTCAGTTCTTATTGTTCAGTTTTAAGAAATTTTTGTATGTTTTGGTTAACAGTCCCTTATAAGATATGTCTTTTGAAAATATTTTTTTCCCAACCTGGGAGTTATCTTATTCTCTTTGTGGTATCCTTAGCAGAGCAGAAGTTTTAATTTAGCAAAGTCCAGATTATCAATTTTTTTTTCTTAGATGCCCATCACATTTTATATCAGAACTAGAAAAGGTGAAATTCTTGGTCTGAAGTCGCAGTTATCAGTCAGCAGAAGAGACAGTCCACAACCCTGCATGGAGTCCAGATGAGGATCTTGAGTGCAAATTTGGGACTTAAAGAGAGAGCACTAAATGCTTCTAGGCAGGGGTGGTGGGTTGAGGAGCCCCTGGACTTCACTCATTTGGGTCCCAGAAAACTACACAGTCAATTTCACAACACCAATAGAGGGAGGCTCAGGCCCTGCCAAGAGCTGACATGATAATTTTAAAGGTAATCAGAGTGGATCCTCTCCAAGCTAGAACACAGAGAGCCCAACTGCGAGGCTTGTTGTCACCCAGTCAGCCCCAGGCAGGGTTGGCAAGCTGCAGCCTAAGGCACATTGTAACTTCCTCAGCTGAGTTCTCAGGGGACAGAATGACTAAGAACAATAGCCCAGTGAATACTTAGAGCAGTGTTCTCAAGGAATCCTGCAGAGGCGGCTTCTGAAAAGCCAAGGTAGTATCTGCCTGCTGAAGGTGTTCTCAGGATTTCATTCGCTCTTCTCCAGGAACCACATCACCTGCCCTTCTACCTACACTTCTGCCTGCTGTGCCTAACCACAGCCATCATGCCTCGGGGTCAGAAGAGTAAGCTTCGTGCCCGTGAGAAACGCCAGCGGACCCGTGCTCAGACCCAGGATCTCAAGGTTGGTCAGGCTACTGCAGCAGAGAAAGAAGAGTCTCCTTCCTCTTCCTCATCTGTTTTGGGGGATAATCCCTCCAGCTCCCTTGCTTTGGGCATTCCCCAGAAGCCTCAGAGAGAGCCACGCACCACACCTGCTGCTGCAACTATGTCAGGCACTGGACCTGATGAAGGTGACGAGAGCCAAGATGAGGAAAATGCAAGTTCCTCCCAGGCCTCAACATCCACTGAGAGATCACTCAAAGATCCTCTAACCAGGAAGACGAAGATGTTGGTGCAGTTCCTGCTGTACAAGTATAAAATGAAAGAGCCCACTACAAAGGCAGAAATGCTGAAGATCATCAGCAAAAAGTACAAGGAGCACTTCCCTGAGATCTTCAGGAAAGTCTCTCAGCGCACAGAGCTGATCTTTGGCCTTGCCTTGAAGGAGGTCAACCCCACCACTCACTCCTACATCCTCGTCAGCATGCTAGGCCCCACCAATGATGGAAACCAGAGCAGTGCCTGGAACCTTCCGAGAAACGGGCTTCTGATGCCTCTACTGAGTGTGATCTTCTTAAACGGCAACTGTGCCGGTGAAGAGGAAATCTGGGAATTCCTGAATATGTTGGGGATCTATGATGGAAAGAGGCACCTTATCTTTGGGGAACCCCGAAAGCTCATCACCCAAGATCTGGTGCAGGAAAAATATCTGGAATACCAACAGGTGCCCAACAGTGATCCCCCACGCTATCAATTCCTGTGGGGTCCAAGAGCTTATGCAGAAACCAGCAAGATGAAAGTCCTGGAGTTTTTGGCCAAGGTGAATGACACCACCCCCAATAACTTCCCACTCCTTTATGAAGAGGCTTTGAGAGATGAAGAAGAGAGAACCGGAGCCCGGCCCAGAGTTGCAGCCAGGCGTGGCACTACGGCCGTGACTAGTACGTATTCCAGGGCCACATCCAGCAGCTCTTCCCACCCCATGTGAGAGCTAAGGCAAATTGTTCATTTTGTGGTTGAAAGACCTGTTGCTTTCTCTGTTCCTGTGATGCATGAATAACTTGTTGATTTATCTCTTTGTTGTATTTTCTAGTGATGTTTCTTAAAATAGAAAGTTTATTTAGATTCAGAATATAAGTTTAGAAATGGCATGTATCACACACTTATTGCTGTTTATCAGGTTGGTTTAGTAATAATAATTTTGTTTTTGAAATACAAATAGAAAATCCTGAAATCATTTTTGTGATACAGAGCAAAATAACATGGCATGGGAGTAAGGTTATCCTTAGAAATTTATAATAACTTCACAGTAAAATAGGTAGAATCTGAAGATAGAAAGAGAAGAAAAGTAAAAGTTGCTTTATTTATGGTTTGTCTTACTCCGTTCAGTCTTTTTTTGTTCATAAATTTAAAAGTTACATACCTGGTTTGCTTAGATTATTCAAGAATGTGGAGGCTTGGGCCAAGGTCAATGACAGTGTCCCCATTGTCTTCCCTCCATTAAGAGAAGACTTGGAGAGATGAGGGAGAGAGAGCCAGAGATAGTGTTGCAACTGGGTCTGGCATGTTTCAGTGTGGTGTCCAGCAGTGTCTCCCACTCCTTGTGAAGTCTGAGGTATATTCTTTACTTTTAATTAAGAAAACACTTAACCTTCTAATTAATGGAGGGCCAAAGGGGAGTTGGTGGGAACACTATATATAACATATTTGTATGTAATATGATTTATCTTTTCTTTTTCTTGCTTTTCAGTGTTCTTTTTTTAAATTGTAGATTTATTTAGTTTCAGAATCTAAGTTTGTGAAAGGCATGAATCACTCATTTATTAAAATATAACAGGTTGAAGAGCGAGAATTTTTGCATTATGTAAAACAATTTTAAAATCTTTTAAGTCTTTTCCTGTGATCTAGAACAAGATAATATGGAATTGGAATATTAAATTTGTGAAAAGGAAATTACCTTGCAATAAAGTTGGTGGGACCATGAAGTAGAGAAAAAAAAAAAGTAAAATGTGGTCAATTCTTGCTTTGTTTTGTTCTTTTTAGTTTTTCTTTGTAAAACTGAAGTATATGTACCCGGATTGGCTTAGCTTTTTCAGGAATGTGGGGGAAATTAAATAGCAATACATTTGACTTCCTGGTCACTTACACTTTAATCGTCCAAATATTAATTGAGCAGCTGTTCTTTGGAGGGCTCCTGGCTAGTACCGGATAAACTAAAAAAACAAAAAACAAACAACAAAAAACCCCCAATCCCTACCCATAGAATTTTAGAATCCAACAGCAGCTATCATATAATGAAGGTGATGAGATACTCCCTCAGACCTAAAGACAGGTGAAAAGAGGGGATAAGAAAGAAGGTGGGGGTGTTTCCAGCAGTGGAATCTAGTGTAAATGTCCTAAGCAAGGTAATCGAGACTTTGGGAAACCGACCATACTGCAATAGGAGGTAATTTTATGTCCCGGCATAAAATGCCTAGTTGGGGTGTACTGAGCAGGGGTCACACACTCAGATCCACTGAGGTGGATCTCAGACTTGAGAGATGGAGACTGGAATGAAAAATTGCCTTTAACAGTTACTTTGAGATTGCGGAAAAACCAGAGGGAATCTTTGCCTAGAAGCAGGGATTGAAAGTGGCCGGTGCTCTTGTCGCAATGCAAGTGAAGTGAATCCAGTACACAAACTAGGTGTTTTATGCACGTAGTCCCCAGAGTGTTTCTGAGAAATAAAGGTGATACTCCTTTAAGACTGGAAACTCATAAGCCACTGGGCTAATACTCTGCTATCAGCTGGGCAGCCAGAACCCATTCCATTAAAAGGAATTTTTTTCCTTTCATGTGTTTTTGCAAATTCTAAGGGAGATCTAGATTTTTGATGGTGGTAAAATGAATGAAAATAAGTGGTTTGGATGAAAGGCCAGAGTTGGCCTTTGAACCAAACCCTAGAAGGTTTGAGTTGCTTTCAGATGAGAAAGACAACTCCACACTCAAAATATGATTTAATACGGAAAAGTTATTTAGAGTTTCTTTTTAAGTTGCGTTTTGGACTGATTTGTTGTTCCATGTCTTAGAAAGTTGTATATTCTTTGTTATCTCTTGGACTTGAAAAAAATCAGCAGGGTAGATGATTTCTTCTGTACTTGAAATAATCACAGTAATAACAAGCATTGTTTAAAGTCTCAATGCACACCAGGGCTTTGCACACTTTCACCACATTCCACCAGTCTTACAAGACAAGGCTTATCAAGCCCATTTCACAGATGCAGAGCCCAAGGCTCACAGAGTTTGGTAATGTGCCCAAGTTCACACAGCTAGTAAGTGATAAGGCTGGAACTAGACTGCTGGTCTGAATTCCTCTAGCGTCCACACTGTTCCACTCCTCCCAAACTGAAGCTTACTGTGAATTGCTTAATTCATTTTCTTCTACAACCCCAAAGTGTGTCTCAGGTAAGAAAGAAGAGGTCTCTGTACCCCAAACACTGGATTGAAATACATAACCAGAGCAAGAAGAATACCACAATAATTGACAGACGTGAGTTACAGAGAAAAAGAAACAATACTCGGTGACAATATGATCACTGACAGAAGCAAAATTAGATAGCTTCGAAAGATCAAAAGATTACAAAAATCATCTGGCTGCACCTTTTCTGTAGAAAGTAAATCTTTTAGAACTACCCTTTGGTTGGTGAAGTGAAGAGATAGATCAGCATGTTTTTTTCCCTGAGAGCACAACATCTGTCCGAGGCTCTCCACCTTCCGTTTCAGTTTCCTAGTGTCACATCACTTCTGGGACAGGGACCTCTTCTCTGCAAGGTTTGCAAAGAGGAAACTGGTCAAATTTTTGCAGGGATGTGACATTTCCCTGGAAGAGTTTGATCAAGAGACAGAAGCCAACATGAGAACACTCATGAATGAATAGTGGGGAGAAACCACTCCAAAATGTAAGGGTTCATCCAGCCCCTCAGGAGAGTGACCTCAGTTCAGTAGACAGAGGAGTCCCAGGTTCTGATACATGTAAAGGCAAGGAGCATAAAAGAAGATTGATGGAAGGACCTAGCCAAAACTGTGGGGTTCTATGGAGTCCCTTCCTTACTATCTGTTATTGCAGGTTGCAAAAGGACTGTGATCATGAGGATCATCCAGAATTCCAACTCGAAATTCTCAGAAAACAGGACCTTGATGTGAGAGGAGCAGGTTCAGGTAAACAAAGGGTAAGTTACAGGTTTGCTCACTTGTCAAGGTGAGGACCTGAATGTGAACTAAGGATAGCACCCACACGGCCTCACAAAGTCCCCTCTGCTGTCAGCCCCAGGAAGCCTTGGTGGAGATGGCAGGCTGATTTCTGCCTGGAAAGTCTCAGGGACATGACTGGTTCCGTCTAATTGGGGCAGCCTCAGTTTTACAGAAGGAAGAGGCCGAGACCCTAACAAGAATCAACGTAGGACTCCTAAGTGTTAAGAGGGGACTCCACCAGCAGACGAGTCCCCAGAATTCATCCCCTGTTTTGAGGCATCAGACACAGCTATCCGCCTAAGATGCCTCTCATTTCCGCCTGGAAGGTCTCAGGGAGGATGGGGAGCATGGGGCCGGAAGGGAGTCGCTTCATTTCTGCCCGGAGAGGAAACCAGAGTCAGATGAGGACTCTGACAGCTGATGAGAAGACCTCTCCCCAAAAAGGGACTTTCACGGAGTCCTGCCGCTGCTGTCAGGGCTGTGAGGCCCAGGCAGGGATGGCCTGTGTGGCTCGCTAAGATTTCCACCTTGGGGGCTGAGGGAGGTGGGGGTATTGTTTGGAAGCTGGCGGATTTGGGTCAGAAGGCGGAGTCATCCCAGGCTGCTAGATGAGCCGGGGTGAGGACCCCTAGTGGGGACGTAGGGAGCAGCGACGCTAGAAAAGTTACGTCCGGTAGCGTTCTACCCCTTCCGTCAGCCCTGAGGTCACGGGCTGCCGGATGTGGCTCATCCTGACTTCCGCTTTGAAGGCGAGGACGCGAGCGCGCGAGCGAGCGTGAGGGCGCAGTGTCTGCCTGGCGGATTTGGGTCAAGAGGTGGAAGTTGTCCCAGGCTGCTAGATACTAAGGTGAGGAACCCTAGTGGGGACAAAGGGACCAGCGACGCTAGAACAGTGTCCTAGCGTCCTGCCTCTGTCGTCAGTCCTCAGAGACTTGCCGTCAGCCCTCAGAGGCCCTGGGCTGCCCGATGTGGCTCATCCTCACTTCCGCTTTGAAGGCGAGGACCCGAGCGAGCGTAAGGGGTGCCGTGTCCGGTCAGCCGAGGGTGAATTCTCAGGACTGGTTGGGAGTCAAGGTGAGGACCCTGAGTGTAAATTGAAGAGACCACCCCCACTCGTAACAAAGAGGGCCCCACTAAGTCCCGCTTCTCCATTTTGTCCTGGGAGGCCTCAGGTAACCAGATGGGTAGCACCCTGACTGTCTCTTCAGTGACTCAGGGAGATGAGGGCTTTGGCCTAAGTATTACAGACTCAGGTCAATAGAGGGAGGAGTCCTAAACACTACTAGGAATCAGGGACAAAGTCCTGTGTGACAATTGAGTCACAGACTCCAGAACAGTGGGGTCCAAAAGCCCGGCTCCTGGGCTGTGCGTGGTGACTCACGCCTGTAATCCCAGCACTTTGGGAGGCCGAGGGGGCTGGATCACGAGGTCAGGAGATCAAGACCATCCTGGCTAACATGGTGAAACTGCGTCTCTACTAAAAATACAAAAAATTTTTGGGGAAGGTGGCGGGTGCCTGTAGTCCCAGCTACTTGGGAGGCTGAGGCAGGAGAATGGCGTGAACCCGGTAGGCGGAGCTTGCAGTGAGCCGAGATTGCGCCACTGCACCCCAGCGTGGGCGACAGAGCGAGACTCCGTCTCAAAAAAAAAAAAAAAAAAAAAGTCCCGCTCCTGTCGACACGCACGGGCCCCAGTCAGCCATGGTGGGATGTGGCCCACTATGACTGTAAACTTAGGTCCAAGGAGTATGAGAACTTTTGTCTACGGGGCATGGTCTCAGGACCAGTCGATGGGTGGAGTCCCAGAAAGAGTGACGAGTGTAGGTGGAGACACTGAGTGAGGAAATGGCGGCTACTCAATACACAAGTGAGACAGCTGCACCTGATGCTGTCCCTGGGAGTCCCAGGCCAGAGCTGGCAGGCTGAAGTACTCCCTGGCTTCTGCCTTCGTGGTCTTAGGGAGAGGAGGGCCTTGGTTTAAGACCTTGCTGCCCCAGTTCAGTAGAGAGATAGGAGTCATATGCCAAGACAGGTGTTAAGGTACAGTTTCTGTATGAGGAATGAGGTAACCATGTAGTCCAGAACAGGCAGGAACACACAGTCTTACCTTGGCGTTCATTCCTGAGAAGCCAGGGTTAGAACTCTCAAGTTGAGATGCCCCTCATTTCCTTCAGGGGCTGTTTCAGGTACATAATGGCTTTGGTTTAACATGAAAGCCCTTATTTAGTACAGGGAGGAGGCCCAGTTCCTAAAAGATGGTGATACTGAAGGAGTGTGAGGGGACCCCCTCCAAGAAAGAGGTAACACACAAAGAGCCCTATCCCCACTGAGACCTGGGAGATCCAGGTATGGTGATATGATGAGTCTCACTCACTTCTTCCTAGAGCATCTCAGGGAAGTGAGGAACTTCATCAAAGGGGGCAGCCTTATGTTAGCAGCTAGAGGATTCCCGGGTAATTCCAGGAGTCAAGAAGAAGACCCTGAGAACTGGGGGGACCACTCATCCCATAACAGTGAAAAAAACACGGAATTCCTTCCTGATTTTCATCCTTGGGAGATGATGGACAGTTGTAGCCAGATGGGAAAAGTTTCACTTCTTCCTCAAGGAGTTGGGGGTGGGGGGCTTTGTATGACTGGATAGGCGTTAGATCAAGACAGAGAAGACACTGAAGGAGGAATGAGATGAGCACTGACCTAGAGAGTGGGGCTTCACCAAGTTCCACCCCCTCTCAGCTCTGGGAAACCCCAGGCAGAAGTAACCAGATGTGTCA